CTCCCCATCTGGAACCGAATAATCTCCAGGAGATTATGGCAGGTATTTGCGTGCGAGAGCGCGGACCCATCGCGGTATATATAATGAGTTCAATGCTGACGAAGTAAAATTATACCTGTCCAAGTGTGAGAAATCGGCTACTATGCACTCGACGCACAGTAAGGACAGTGAAACCAGTGGATAAAGCGGTTTTGTATCACTAGTAGCGGGGTGAGGGACATGACAAGACAAAGGACCCATAATCGAAAACGTACAATCATAACGACTTCTTACATAAACGAATAGGAGCATCCGGAAGATAAAGAGCAACAAACCACAGTAACCACAGAAGTTTAAGGGTGACGTAGTTGTAAATAGTAATGGATTACAGACTACACAGCTACCACATTTACCTTCTTCCTACCCTGCCAGCTAGGCAACGTTCGGTAGTTATGAAATGCTGGCATCAATAGGAAGCTTACCAGAAGAATTCTTTGCCTGTACCCTGGTCTGGAAGGCTTCCTTCGATTGGTTGTTTCCACTGGCACCAGTAGCACCACCGACGCTTCCTAATGATCGGCGTCGACCGTCAAAGCCGGGTGAGTATCGTCCGGACAGCCAGGTATCAACACCACCAAAAATGTTGCCACACTGTTTGATTATTCTAGTGGACACACTCCAAAGACGAAATCGGGCCAGAAGGTCTAGCAAAATAGGAAAGAGGGATAATGTACCAAAACAAGCCACAAAAGAAGCCAGGCTTGGGAACAAAAGTTACGTGAGTGCATCAGGCCGTGGACAGATAATACCAACAGGCAGCAAAAGGATGGAACCTTCTATAGTAGGTTGTCTATCTCATGCAATATAAACTGAAACTGGGTAATGAATCTCCAATTCGAAAAACTAGTTGAGTATAAGGCAAGGGCAGCGAGATTCGCAGAATTTAATGAAGTCATAGAATTTCATGACCTCATTTCAACTGCATATGGTCATTGCCTATTAATAGGATAAACTAGAAATAATTTAAATTTGCAAACTAAGACACGAAAATCGTTTCACGCAGAGTTGACAAAGTTGATTAACAAAACCTATGGACAAAGCATTTCTTTTACACTCATATGACTACATTGTTAACATGTCAGATTTGATACTGACTAAATTGCAAGCCAAAGGCTTATCTTTGTTATGCTCATGTGATAGCAATTTACGTCTTCTTCAAATCTGATATTTGTTGAAACTGTATCTTGCTGTTTATATTTTTTATAAATATGACATTGAAGCAGAACATGAAATTCTCATTCATGGAATATCCAAATTGTCCATTTATTAATGCCGTCTATAAAGTATACAATATGGTCCACAACCTATGCAAAATTTTATGAAAACTATATGGCATCTTTCACATTGTCTGGAAAATGTGTGATTTTCTTTAGGAAAAAGGTATACAGTACGTCGGTTTCAAACCATAAATGCATGTTGAACGACGTTTGGTGTCAAAATTATTCGGGAATTGTTAAAGTGTTTTTAAAACCAAAAATATACACTTTCCACAGGTACAAAATTTGAATAAGGCCTTATATCTCGCCATCCTGAGGGGAATAAAATTTCTTGGGATTAGGATCCAGAACAATAAATGATATAACCATAATTAAGTAACCTTTTTCAAAGCAAAAACCCATTTCAAAATTTTAGGTTAGTGAAATGGATCAATCTACTGTATATTGAGAAGTCTTTCCACCTGCAACCGATGCAAAGGACTCCATAAAAATGCATACGAAGGAAGAAAGCACAAAAAGTGAAAAAGTTAAGTCGGTGTGTCTGTGAGAAGTACCTACCGAGGTAGGCATAAAACCAATTTTCAATCTGCGCTTCGGAAGCCCATTCATTGATACGGGTTCTCTCAGTTCCAAAGACCAGGAGTGCTGTGCACACGGACTGAACATGACCAGCATCAACCTAGGCAAAACGATAAAGTACTCAAATATATAAGTGCATCAAAAAGAAAAAGAACAAAACAAAAATTCCTTAGCACATAAGAACCTTTAATTTTGGGCTAGCCCATACAGCATAGAAAGCTTGGAAACCAGTGACCGCAAAAAACCCTTCCGACCAAAGGTTGAAGGTTATTCAAGGTAAACATACGTTTTCGGACGTACACTACCAAATCTGTAGAGCACGGCATGATTTGGGGGGACGCTAACATTTGCTACAATTATTCCGCGGGAGAGTAAACTAATCAATTCTGCTAAAGAAAAGACGGGAGAAAGCGTGACTGATACACATGACCAGAGGGCGGGGAGGGCATTAATGGAGGCACCATAGTTGGGGTGAGTGTGACGGCCCCATTCCAGGGAGTGGTAGAGCAATCCCGTTTTTGTGGCAGATCGTAGGAGAATCGCCAGTCGTGATGGTGCGGCGGAAGGCAAGTCGTTGTGGGCAGGTTTCTGACTGAAGAACCAACTGCCATGACAGGAAACGGCTAGAATCGTTTACAGGATCTGGTGCAGTTGTGAACAAAGCAGCTACTTCGGAGAAAGCGGGAGATTACTCTGGACGTGAATGGCCGAGCACGCATTGGCGCTGAGGAAGAAAGACACCAACTCACAGGTTGCAGCTCACTCGACGGGACCCGGCCATATTTGCAAGTTTAGCGATGCCGGTCGCAAGAGGTGACAACCGCGTGAGCCGCGAGCTGCTCGAGTCATGGTTCTCAGACCCACAATCAATCAACAAGCGCAATGATTTGCCGTTCCAATCCTGCGTACTGAGACATTGCCTGAGAAGGAGAATCAGTCACTTGGGAAAGGCGAGACCCAGAAACAACTCCGACAACAACGAAAATAATTGTTGCGCCATTATGAAGCCCACATCCGATACGGAAAACGAAATCGCGGCAATTGATGAGTCAAAAGCAAAGTGCCAAGTCGTCACCGCACCAAGTACGACCCGAAGTGGAGGTTCTAGGAGCTGAAGCTTATAGTACGCATGCGAATGGGCACTACGAACTAGCAATATCGCGCAATCTGTGCACGTATCACTCCCGTCTGCGCATGTCTCACACTATCCTACGGTTACCTATGATTAAGGATTCTCGACAGAATCCGAAACACCAGGAAAATAAAATTCTTGTTCCAGTGACCGCATCTTCTTCTGAGGTCTCTGGCAGCTACTTCGTCCATAGCAGGGCTGCAACAGCGAGCAATAGCAGGTTGCAGAGTCAGTCGGGGGTTGCGCTCATGGATTTATCCTTTTCTGCTTTTTTTCTGCCGTCAGGGGTTCCTTCAAATATCCACTCTTCATTTCGAGGTGTTGCAACACTCGAGGCTCGAACGTGCCACCGGTTGGTTGGAAGCCCCGTGCCCTAACCTACGAGTTTGTTGTCCTGTTTGTTGAGATCTGTTATTTCAGGGCTACCATTGTAAATATACGTATAATGACATCGACGTGATCGTGAATAGATACGTAAAATCTACTTCCATTCAGCAAAAAACGTATTGCGACGTAAGAATTAAGGAAGGGAAGACGCTTTGACTCAACAATGTTTCACCTATTTTGAATAAACTAAGAATTAACTCGCGGGGATGACGCCGTAAGACAAGCGTTGTAAAACAGAACCAAAAAACTACTTAGTGATAGGCAGACCCAACCTCACAGGCCAACTGTCAGTTGCTCCGTGAGGAACATAAAGCCGGTGAGTATCAAAGAAGGGTAGCAACAAAAACAGAAGCAACTAAAACTTTCATAGCCATCGGCAGGACACATCTAATGTGTGTGCAGAGTCCTTTTTGCTGAACTCTGTCTCACAGTTCACACGCCTCCCTAATGCGCACCTGAGCGGATGAGTGTTGGAACTCCGGTGAGAAAGGGGAGCGCTACTTCAGACTGAATGAAAAGCAAGTGCCGGACACTGCGTGGGAGCAGTGAAACCTAACTGACACAGGTGTGAACGGAATAGCGGACAGTTGATGATAGTGAGGCTCAGTCAAACAATTAACAGGCGCAGACAGAATTAGATTGGGTTCCCTAAACATTAAATTGCCGCGCATACAAACAGTTTAGAACAAAATTCTACCGTTGACTTTACTCCTAAGAGGATAACTGGGAGAGCCGGGGACAATTCAACGTGAGCAATCGAGGCATGGGAAACTAAACATAAACCTGTCAGTACATGCGTGGTAACACCGCCTCTCTGCTCCTCCTCCTCCGGCCTCCCAAGTCCTCTATATCCATGCCACAGCACACCTAAACAGAGATTTTGTTTAACTGTAGGAAGAGCCATAAATTCTAATTTCAGCATTACGGATTTGATAAGAAGGCCAGTTATAGGCAAACCCATAGGAATGTCTTTCAATTGTGGATGGCATTGTTTGGCAAAACAAAAGTAGGTTTCTAAACAAAGATCTAGTATACACTTTCGGTAAATTCTCGTCAGGCCATACATTTACAGGGGAGGTTTAAATTTAAAGAATCGATAGATCGTCTTTCCTTACAAGCGGGAGCCAATCATTTCCTTGCTCCTGTATAGCAGGTTATATCGGTCGCCCGAGGCGACGAGAACACCTCCCGGCATGGCTGGCTAAAGGTGAAACCAAAAGCATCAACAGTTCTATCCTTGCACACATGGTTGACTCCGGACATCGTGTTGACCCCAGCGAAGCCTTTAAGGTAATTTACAAGGTCCCACCAAACTACCCAAAGTTCCTGGGTCTATGTCCACTAGCAACGGCAGAAGCAACCGCGATCCGGTTGATGAAGCCGGTTTTATGCGCGCAAAAGAACCTCCTGCAAGCCCTGAACTTGGCATGGCCAACGGTAACGTAATTGCCTGCATCTTGCCGCGCTCTGATTGGCTCCCGCTTGTAAGAAGAGACGATCGATCGATTGTTCAAATTTAAACCTCCCCTGTAAATGTACGGCCTGACGAAAATTTACCGAAAGTGTACACTCGCCAAATGTTGTTCTGAATTATCTAATGGAAATTTTTGCAACTTTAAAGATGTAGTATTTAAGGTAAAGCGTCGGCAGCCAAATCATTTGCGTGGCCTTGTAGTAGTGCTTCGATGCAACTCCTCACTATATCTAAACGAATTGAGGTTAAGAGCCAAACCACACCGGATGAAAACATTATTTCGACAGTTTAAACGTTGACCCCTTTTAAGATTGTATAGAAACTCTCTCGTATCTTCATTTGAGTACTCGGAGTTGCTTGTGAATGGATCTAATGAATGAAGTAGTCATTTTGAAAACTTATATTTTGGTGTGCCTATTCAGGTGGCTATCGGTTGCAATAGAATATCATCTCGGGAAAATTTGGGAAGAAAAGTGAATGATCAAAGCTTGCGAAACTAGAGATAACGCAGCCAGTAGATTGGTCGTAAACTCGCCCTCCTCCTCCGGCCTACTAAATCCTACAAACTCAGTATAGAGTGCAAAGGATAGACCAGTGATTAGCATCCGTAACACCCATTCTTAGGGGGACACAATACAAATCTCCTGAGTCATATTCCACATATGAATCGCGTGTCGCATTACTTTTTTCGTATTTCTGATAGTGGAAGCAAGAAAAATTAAAAACCTCCGGCTACCTAATTATTTATCCGTATGTGGGACTTCTTCCTCACGTTCAACTTAACAGAAAAATGCACTCGCCATGGACCATTAAAACAAATTTCAGACAAGACACCTCCCTTTGAAACTGTGGAATAATTTCAAAAGTAGTCAATGGAACAAGGAAAAGTGATTAAGAAGCAAGGGGTGGACTTGCCAGTTCGATAAACCACGGACCGACAAGGTGGCTAAAGTCAACAAAACGATCAACGGGCGATGTCTGATGCATTCTAATTGGACGTAAGTCAGCTTCTAGATATGGATCACTCTGGGCTGGCTCTACCGACGACGAAAGGTCGAGACAATTCAGTGACGAGGTAAGGTCCAGGCCACCATCAAGGAACGATGGAAGAGATGAAAGCTCCGAGGGACGGTGGGGTCCTTGGGTCTGACTGAACTTCTGCGAACGGTTCCTTGTGCCTCCTGTATACGACCTTTTTCGAAAATAAAGTGCGAATATATGAGATGTTAGGAGGGGGAGGGAGATATGGGTTAAGTTTGTCGTAATGTAGTAAAAACACTAATCATCTGAACCAGAGGAGATTGAGTGTTCAGTCTGGTCAGGATATGATCTTAATAGTTTTGGATTACTTTACGTAAGTGTTACCAAGACCACCTTGTCCCAAATGTGACCATACAAAAAAATCAAAGAGCCGAAAAGTACAAACCTAGACTTCTTATTTCCTCCTGTGGTAACTCCAGCTGAAGTCTGGTCGGAGGTCCGAGATATGGCTTCAGGGTCTATCCGGGATCGTAGGTCAAACGCCTCATCAGGGCAGACTTGAGAGAGTTCTGGGCAGAAAAAAAGGTTTTCGGGATTTTTCATCAAAACTAATTAACCTGGAAGAATGTCTGCACAAAAGAACAATGTATAATCGGGGTAAAAACTCGAGAATCAGGGATGCAAGTTTAAAAAACTCTCATTCCGCTAACAGAGACAGGAGCAGTGGGCGGAAATTTTTCTCTGCAATATGCGCAAAGATTTTAGGTCCAGATATCTTATTGTTTTCATCATTCCCCAAAGAAGACGAAGAATAAGGTTAAAGGACATGGACCGAGTTATATTGGGACTGACGTTTCGGACACTCGCTTGTTTCCACCGTCAGAGTAACGTGGTGGTGGTTCCTGTTTGCCGGGATTGTCTCAGCCTCGCTGAGTGCCTGTTGTTATATCCGTGGTCGGCGCACGAACTTTGACCTGCTTGTTCGCTGCTGACTGTCCGTGAGATTG